GGGATGTATGTAAGTGCGTCAACGGAATTTGTCTCCCAGCGCTCTTCCGCGTTCTCATTGTTATGTCTCACAGGGACAGAATCTGGTGGGGACGGCGGGTTGGAGTTACTGTCCCCACGCAGGAGGTCAAGACGCGGAGCTACGGACTGCTCAATCCCCTTCTCGTCACTAAAAGGACCATCACTTACAGCTGAATACCACTCATCTGACGGGAAATTATTTTCCAAGATATAAACATGGCGAGATACTATGGGCTTCTGAGAATCTCTAATCCAGACTTTGTAAAGGTTATTCTCAAAGCAACCTATAAGAACGCCTTGCTTGCTTTTGGAATCGAGCTTCTTCCTTTTCTGCTTCGGTACATGAGCCCATGTGAGGCTACCAAACACCCGAATGCGGTCCACTCGCGGATTCACGCATCTCTTGCACCTCTCTATTAAGGGCCGGCCGCTTCTGCGCCCTGGCTCCCCCCTTCTAGTTACAATAAAGGGCGACCATTCAAAGGTATCCTTCGACATGTAGAGATTGGTGCAGCGAAAGGAGGCAGGTACGACATAAAGTGATGCTGTTGGAGCCTACGTGGAGAAATTCGTCCATACAAGGCCCTCAGGGCCTTTCTTAAGGGCCTTTCTTAACTCGCCTGATTCCTATGAGTGCGGATTGCCCCTTTGCTCCTTTGCACAACTACTGTAGGAAGGCATCTGAGCAGAGTTTTCTGTAACCGTGTTGACGCAGTTCCGTTTACGTTCCTTTGAGCTCTCCATGGCTAATCAAAAAGAACTCAGAGCTCGGACGTCCGTGTTGGTTGGTTGTTCCGGTTGTTCTCTGTGTTTTTCTGCTGACTAGCAAGGCCGATGGGTCCAATAGACTCTGGGAACAGCGGTACACACAGGCGAAGATCTAGCCCGTGTTCTCCGGCTGAATAGCTAGGCCGATGTATGGTATACCTATCCTGTTCCGCACCCTCGCCATGTCGGACACTGGTACGCCCTCATTACTCAGCTGGCTCCTGCCCTCTCCAGCAGTTGCAAACTCTTCGTCTCACTCGCCAGAGGGCGAACACTGTTGACACCAATTCGCCTTTTCTGGAACCACCTTACTGGACTTCGTAGAGAAAGCAAAACGGGCTTCTGCTTTTCCATTCTTCATCTCTATACTTCTCATTTACCCTACCCCTCTTCCAGCGTGCGCCTTTCACTTTCTACGGCCGCGCCCCCAACTCTGGTAGAATGGCCTGGCTGGCCTGTTGCATAAAAAAAATCGGCGGGGACGTCCCTCAGTTTCGCAGTAAACCCGTCAAACAGGGGCGTTGCCGCCCTTCCTCGCTGGCTCTGACATGGCTTCATTTCCCCATGGTGTGTAGGGTGGTGACACATGCCCGAGTATGTAACCGTTACACATAACGACGCACAGTACCCGCCCTTCATCAAACGGCACACCCGGCCTGCGCACACGTATGGCGGCAGTCAAACAGACGTGCGGTAAATGTACTCGCCTCGACAAGCGCGTGCGCGGTATCTTCCAGTGACGAGCGCGCGCGTTGCGAAATAGCGCGACGCGGTTCTGTCGCGGGTTTGCGCGATAAGGTGCGCAGACTACTTTGCTGATTGTGTGGGTGGGCTCGCCTCCGTTCCATGTTGCTTGCCATGATGCTTTCCGTCATTCTTCGAGGAGGGTGCGCTGCTCTGGGGCTGCATTGCGGTCGCAAGTGCGCCGGGTGGGACGGCGGAAGGCTTCGGCTCCGAGGGACTTACTCTCAATTGCATCATTGGGACGAAAGGTCTGTCGGATGCGCTCGCAATCGTTCCATAGTGTTTGCCATGATCCTTTCCGTCATGGTTCGAGGCGGTTGCGCTACTGTTGGGATGCATTGAGGTCGCCCTGAAGCAGAGCCTGAAGAGTAGCACGAGGACTACGGCGACCATGACGGCGGCGACGATGGAGGCGATGGTTGTGACGACTATGGCGCCGGCCGAGAGAGCGGAGGCGCGGACGAGTTGTGCGTTGGGGGGCAGAATCATGGTGGGTTAAGGAGAGGAAGATGCGGAGCGCGGGGGAGGAGGACGGGGAATGTCATTGCGGATATTTATATCGGATGATGGCAAGCACAATCCTCTTTCGGCCACTGCAAGGGAGTGGTGCGATATCTCAGACAATTTTTTTTGTACAGTATTGAGATTGCAAGCAATGCAGTACCCTTCGAAGGGTACTGTACCCTAAGGGTACACGTATGTAAATGTAAATGCTTTATTCAATGATTATTGTTGCTGACGTACATGTACAGTATGTACAGTAATATGTTACGCAATGCATGCCTCTACTGTATTCCCGAGTTACGGTAAAGACATACAGTATTTACAACTCGTCTGTCTGCCTGCCTGTCTCCCTCTCTCCGTCGGTGGCGCAATTGCAGTTTGTACTGTACAAAAAACGAGGTGAGCGCGATCTGCATCCATCTCTTTTTTACTCCCTTTCTCTCATCAGTTAGGGCATAAAGGCAGCAGCCGTGCCCATTTGGAAGACGACCACGCTCTCATGCCCTCTAGTGTCTAAACGACAGGCAATTCGCCTCATATGAGGCCAGCTTTTTTCTACAAAAATATATGAGAATTTTTCTTACGTACAGTACCCCTTTTATTGTGGAATTTTCCTTGCGTACCCCTTTCTTCACCTCACTCCCGACCGACTTTCCGGTAGAGGTACACAGTGTCTGTGGCTTCTTAAGTCGTAGCGTAGTGCCCAACTTGACCACGTGCAGAGAAATGCGACTTTCGTTGAGGCGCTGCGACCCCACTTTCCACAAGCCGTTGTTTGCCCTGCGGCCTGGTTGGGCGTTCACGATATATGAGCACTCCTGGGAGGGGCACTGTACTGTATACGCAGGCGCCCAGAGTCTGACTTTTTTTACCTTGTGAGATCGGCCCACGGTGGCGCACATGGCCAAGGTTGCCATCAAGATGCTGTGCTTGTCAGGGAACGTGCTCCCTTTGATCAAACTCGTTTTTGCGGCGCCCTCTTCACCTCTTCACGTATTCAATCTGGCGCTCCTAAGAAAAGGGGCTCATAAAAAGGGGCATGTAAGGAAAGTTCCAAAATAAAAGGGGTACGTAAGAAAAATTCTCAGAAGTAAAACATTTGCTTCTGAGATATCGCACTACTGTACTTTTGGGTACTGTTAGGACTGCTGTAAGCCCAGTGCCCAGGGATGCACACTGCGCAGGAAAGGGGGCGCGCGGGATTTGCGCTTGGAGGACAGGGCGAAGCGAAGCGCGCGGCATTGCGTTTGGACGGGCGCAGGCCAAAGAAAGGCGCGCGGGCGAAGCTTGAACCGCAATCGGAGACGAGCAAGGACAGGCGCGGGCCAACGGAAGGCGCGCAAGAAGATCCTGAACCGCAAGCGGAGGACTGCGGGCGCAAGAGTGGTGCCAAGAGAAGACTGGCGGGCTACGTGCAAGGGTTGCGATCGGGGGTAGTGGTAGTTTATCGCGAGCAGCGGTGAGTACATAAGCGGTAGTTGGGTACGTAGAAAAAGGGGGAGGCAGGCATCGAGTGGATTTCTCGACAAGGAGCTCAAGTGGACTCTTGCGTTCTTGACGCCTGGCCTCCCGCCGAAAGGAGGTAAAAGATTTTCTCGGCAATCACTGTGTCTCAGGACGAGCCACAACAGTACTGTACTCCCTTGCAGTGGCGGAAAGAGGATTGTTCTTGCCATCATACGATATAAATATCCGCAATGACATTCCCCGTCATCCCCTCCCGCGCTCCGCCTATTCCTCTCCTTAATGCGCCTTGATTCTGCCCCCCCAACGCACAGGTCGTCCGCGCGTCCGCTCTCTCGACCGGCGCCATGGTCGTCATAACCATCGGCTTCACCGTCGCCGCCATCCTGGTCGCCGTAGTCCTCGCGCATTTACGCCAGACGCCTCTGAAGGGGTTTACGTGTTGGTTTTGGTTTGCGCGCGCTGGGGGGCTAAGAGCACCCCTACTGGTTTAGTTATATTTCCAGGTTAAATATGAGAAATTTAGCGTTTGGAGATAACGATTCTAGGCGCAACACTACCGGTTAGAGGGCAAATTCAAACGTGTTTTGCAGTGATTGGATCTTTCGGCAGCCGTGACGGTCATCCAGTACGAGGGGTGGTAGTGGTGGTGCTGTACGGATATACTGTGGGGGACGTCTCCGGTTCCCATCCCCTCAAGCCGCACATGACACCATCATGCCCTGGAGGAAGGGCGGGGAGGAGAGGAGGAGGAAAGGGAGGAGGGAAGGCGTCAGGAAGAATGCAGGAGGGTGGCAGTGGCGGGTAAATTCAGCTTGGGATGGGGGTGTTGGGGGTGTTCCCTGTGCACAGAGAATATTGCTCGCGCCAAGTCAATAGAATTGGCGCGAATTTTTGGTAATTTTTCCAAGTGGCGCAATTCTACTCGTATCTCTATTTGCGCAAATGAGTAAATCTGTCTCCATCCGGTCGGCTGCTTGGAGATAGATTTACTCAAAATGGTAAATTTTTTAGAGATACTCACTCCACTAGAGCTGCTCGTGACCAAATCTATCTCCAAAAACCAAAATTTTACTCATTTACTCAACCACTAGAGGGGTGCTCTAACGGTAGCGGTACCAGCAGAAGATGGCCTGCCCAAATCCACCGCCCTAACGGCCCTACGGAACGGCCCTTAAGGCCGTTCCTAACGAAGAGTTCGCCGTGCCAGCACCCGAGCACCCTGAAACTTGGCATGAATGTATTGGTTGAAAAATTATTGGAAATGCTTTTACTCCCGTTCAACCAATCCATTCATGCCAATTGTCAGGGTGCTTGCGTGCTAGCACGCCGAACTCTTCGTTAGGAATGGCCCTTATTCTGCAGTTTTCGGAGAGGTGGCGTGCTCCCGCCAAACCAGAAATCTAGGACCAGAGTCTGGGAGATAGCACCCTCTCAATTTTAATGTTAATTGTACATGTCAGGATCTCAGCCTCAACTTCATCCCTTCAAATGGGCAACATGGGAGGAGACCCAGCGAGGGGGACGGGAGAGCATCGACCTTTGGGACTAATCATTCGTTGCACTTCAGGCTCTGCTTCGAGGCGAAAGAGAAAGCTGCGATATAGCACCAAACCTCAACGCTTAGCGCCGCCCCACCCGGCGCACTTCTGGCCTCAATGCAGCACCAGAGCAGCGCACCCGCCTCGAAGCATCACGGAAAGCATCGCCGCAAGCACCATGGAACGAAAGAGAAAGCTGCGATATCGGACCCCGTGTCGGTGCCTTACAAGAAGGTGTGTTGCAAGAAGGTGTGTTGCAAGAAGGTGTATTGCAAGAAGGTGTGTTGCAAGAAGGTGCGTTACAAGAAAGTGCCTTGCGTGTCGAGGAGGCATCACGCCATCCCACGCGGCGCACTTGCGACCTCAATGCATCCCCAGAGCAGCGCATCCGCCTCGAAACATCACGGAAAGCATCACGGCAAGCACCATGGAATGAAAGAGAAAGCTTCTATATCGGAGTCGGTGCCTTGCTCGTTCATGACGAAGATACCCTCAATGGAGATGCCCCAACCATGCCCGCTTCCCACGGTGCCGGAATCGCCGGAGCCGGAGCCGATGTACCCATCGAAGGCTCGCCCGCCGAGGGATTGGGCCGTCCCACGCGGCGGAATTGCGACCGCAACGGGGCCCCAGACCAGCGCACCCGCCTCGAAGCCTCAAGGCAAGCACCATTAAACGAAGGCGAGCCCACACACACACACCCAGCAAAGTAGTCCGCGCACCTCATCGCGCAAACCAGCGACGGAACCGCGACGCGCTATTTCACAACGCGCGCGCTCCTCACTGTAAGATACCGCGCCCGCGCTTGCTGAGGCGAGTACATTTACGGCACACGTGTTTGACTGTCGCCATGTGGTAAAAGGGAGTGCCCCCTGGCCAGGAGACAGGTGGGGCGGGGGGGGAGGGGTGAGCACAGTATATGTAGTAGCGAAATCCATCACGCCATACGTGTGTGCAGGCTGGGTGTGCCGTTTGATGAAGGGCGGGTACCGTGCGTCGCGATGTGTAACGGTTACATACGCGGGCGTGTTTCACCACACTGCACACCAGGGGGAAATGAAGCCATGTCGGAGACAGCGAGGACGGGCGGCAACGCCCCTTTTTGACGGGTTTGCCGCGAAATTGAGGGATGTCCCTGCCGACTTTTTTTGTTATCCTACAGACCAGCCAGGCCTTTCTGTCAGAGCTGGGGGCGCGACCGTAGAAGGTGAAAGGCGCACGCTGGAACAGGGGTAGGGTAAATGAGAAGTTCAGAGATGAAGAATGGAAAAGCAGAAGCCCGTTTTTGCTTTCTCTACGAAGTGCAGTAGAAGGTGTTGACATCAACGGTGAGTATTGTCAACAGTGTTCGTGCTCTGGCGAGTGAGGGCCGTTCCTAACGAAGAGTCCACCGTGCCAGCACCTGAGCACCCTGAAACTTGGCATGAATGTATTGGTTGAAAAAATTATTGGAAATGCTTTTACTCCCGTTCAACCAATCCATTCATGCCAAATGTCCGGGTGCTCGGGTGCTGGCACCGCGAACTCTTCGTTAGGAACGGCCCTGAGAGGCAGAGTTTGCGAATGCCGGAGAGGGCAGGAGCCAGCTGAATGATGAGGGCGTACCTGTGTCCGACATGGCGAGGGTGCGGAACAGGGTAGGTTATGTCAGGTATACCGTACATCGGCCTAGCTATTCAGCCGAAGAACACGGACTAGATCTCCACCTGTGTGTACCGCTGCTCCCAGTGTCCATTGGACCCATCGGCCTTGCTAGTCAGCGGAAAAACACAAAGAATAACCAGAACAACCAACCAACACGGACGTCCGAGTTCTGAGTTCTTTTCGATTAGCCATGGAGAGCTCAAAGGAATGTAAACGGGACTGCATGCAACACGGTTACAGACAACTCTGCTTAGATACCTTCCTACAGTAGTTGTGCAAAGGAGCAAAGGGGCAATCCGCACTCATAGGAATCAGGCAAGTTAAGAAAGGCCCTTAAGAAAGGCCCTGAGGGCCTTGTATGGACGAATTTCTCCACGCAGGCTCCAACAGCATCACTTTCTGTCGTACCTGCCTCCTTTCGCTGAACCAATCTCTACATGTCGAAAGATACTGAAAAGGGTACGACCTTCAACTATGACATCGTTCGAGGTTGTTCTCATCCACGTGTACATGATCACACGCGTACGCGTGTGATCGACACGTGCCCAGTCAGCACTGCATTACAGTGAAGCAGCAGTGCAAAAATTCGATCGGGGATACTGCCCGTTTCTCGTCCTTGCTCATTGCAACTCTCGTCACTCTATTTTTGTCTTCTCTTTGTCTTCAGCCATACTTCGGCCGACTCGCAACCCTGCTTTCACCTTCTAAAGTCTCACCTTCTTGTTGTCTGACACTCATATCACCTTCCCTCCATCCTCGCGTATCGCAACGCTACTTACCCGACCCGTGTGCTTTGTCATTGTCGGCTCGAGCTGTAACCCCGACCTCATATCCCATACTCGAATACCTCTATCATCCGCCCCGCTTACCAAATGTCTCTCGTTTGCGCTTATCGCAACACTCCCAACGCTGCTCATGTCACCACTCATCGATAGCCTCGACTTGTGTCCCATCCTCTACATTCCATACTTGCACATTTCCATTCTCGCATCCACAAACTAATAGCCGCCCGCCCCAGCTAAATTATACTGGCCACCCACGTTCCAGCCGCCCGAAATCTTCTGATCTCTCTCTTTTCCGATGCACTCCACATCATTACCATACCACTAAAGACTCGAAAAGTTACGCGCTCTCCGCTCCCACAGATACGTGCTCCTTCAACATACCGAAGGCCATTTCCTTCGCTTGCACTGCTGTTTCCATCTGCACATGTGCTAGTTGTGTGCAGGCCTGCATTCTCATTGCTGGAGATACTAGATGTGTTGCTTGAGTCCCAGCATGTTTCCAACATCCTTCCAAAACAAAATCCCCACTCTCGAAACCCAATCGCATTGTTCGCCTCATACGTCCTCCTTGTTTTTGTTGTTCTGCTTCTGCAGACAGGGACGGTGACTCACGCAAAGATTCACTTTGCTCCCATGTATCCTACCGCACTACTTCGCTCATTTATCCGTCCCGCACCGACATCTGCGGTCCCCAACACTGGCCATACGGGAGCTCGACTTGGACAGGCTTCTCTCCGGAAAATTTGAAGACTGCTACGTGGCGAAAACTCCCGCTTCACATTTAAGGACGAACACCCAGCACCTAGCTCCTGCTTGGACAACCCTCCTCGCTCCTTCAGCTTCTCCAAGTATGAAACCCAAATCTTCGACACATCTCCGCTTTGGTGCTGCTTCACGTACCAAACACTTGTACCCGTAACATTCAGAGCCAGCAGCAGTCCGGCACACATCGCCAGAATGACGCGAATCGCTTCTTTTGAACTGCGGTCATCAACTCCCTCATGACTCGTCCCGCCAGCCTGTAATAGAATTCTCTCCACCTCACCCCCTAGACTCTCTCTCGCACTGAACTGAATCCTATGGCCACGCAATTCCAAGCTCCCGTCTCTCAAAGATCACAAAATCCTGCTCTTCTCCTCATTAGCACGAGCTGCAGTGACACCCATGACAGACAGTTGATGAAGAATCTTATTGTTACTGTCGTTGCGTGCCCATATCATCGAAAATAAACAGGCACACCTTCTCTCCAAACCATGATAGCATCAATGCTAGTACCACATCGAGTTCTGTCTGTTCACGCATCTTCTCGCAAGTGTTATGACCATTGCTCGCATAGACTGCAAGACAGAGTTGTTCTATCACCCGCGCAACAGTCGCGTCTTGCCCCAGCGAGAAAAAGTAGACGCCGCCTGGAAAACGTTCGCTCACTTGTTCATCGTGAGCTGTCGCTCGAAGAGCACACGTCTTTCCAACGCCCCCCTAACCCACTGCGAACGCCCCAATCGGACTATTTCCCTCTTTTCGTAGTACAGCATCCGTGAGTCGTCTCTCGCAAGTCTCTTGCGTATCCAGGCCAGGCTTCTAACTCCAATCAATAGAAACAGAAGAAGGGTGGGATGGAGCCATCACGAGGCCCTTGAAGACCTCCTTTCCAGTCACAATGGCATCAATCTTGCTGTAGAGGTGGGGGTGGGCGCTCGCTGACTCCATTTCCCTGCGCTGGTCTTCTGCGTCCCGCTTGTGCTCAGAGAGAGCATCTCTGCCACGGACGGTATTCAAAGACAAGTGGGCTTGCCTTTTGGTTCTTTCAACTCGCGCTCGAGCTGGTTGACAATGTCTTGGACAAATTTTGAATTGCTTTGGATTTCGACTTGTAGCGTTTCTCGTGTAGCGGTCTTGTTTGGATGCAATGTCTAGATCGTATAAAGTAAACAGGGATCGGCCTACGGGTATCAAGTCTGTGTATCAAAGTATCAATCGGTCGTGTCCGCTGTCCGTTTTCCTTTACTCGGGCTCTCCAATGTGCAGGTAATTATAGGGGACATATAGCGGTGGATATAGGGGATATATAAAGGATAAAAGGTACAAACAAAGACTAAGGTTGACTCAGCTTGACTCAGCTTGACTCACATGGAGGTAACAGGAATCACAAATCAATCAATATATCATATTGATACGTATCGCAACGCCTTGGCACCTTTTTCCAACTTTCGGCAGGTGTCGAGGATATCCTTGGACAAGGAAGTATAGTTTTTGTAGGCGTCACGTCTGTCTATGAGGTCCATAGCAAGACGGACGAGTTGCTCGGCCGTCCCAGTGAGGCGTAGGATACCGAACGGGTCAGCCATGACAGACGGGGGCAGAGTTGCGAAGTACGAAGTCGTCAAGAAAGAAAGCGGTTGTTGAGAGCGGGCCTATCGCTATGCTCACGGGGATTGAATAATATTATGCCTCTCTTGTTGAGAAGGCTTTGGCTCAGGTTGTGTTGGAACTGAGGCCCCCGAAGAACGGCGCTGGGGTAGAGAAGAATTCAGTGTTGCGAGTACTTTCTTGTTTAGTTTATCAGTGCCGAGACAACAACTGCACTTTTGCTACACCTCGGAAATGCAAGCAGTAGAGCAAGCGCGCGCGCCCCTGCACCGGTATGCACCGTGGTCATATTCTTTCTCTGCTGGTACCGGCAGAGTGAAGTTTTCTGTCAATGACGGCTTCGGCGTAAGAGTTTATTCATCATCGCATCCAGAGACGACGTTTATACTGAAGATAGAGATGGTACCTACGTCTCACAGTGGGGGGGAATTTTATCAATGCATGAGGGGTTCGCTTACAGAGACACTAGCAGATATGAAGGTGAATTATACTTCAATCGGGTATGAGATGTCCGCGGCGTGTGTCGGTAGGCGAGAGAGGTTAGCGGCGGCAGCACTGGACCATATAGCGAAGCGGAGGCGTTGTTGGATGCGTGATTTGGCAATTGCAATGGTGCACGAGTTGCGGAGGGCCATGAGCTTAGCGTGAACTTCGATAACGTGTACAGTAAACTGGGAGGGGGCGCCGAGAGCGTCAAAGGAAAGTAGTTGAAAGTGCCAGTCAAGAGGGATAGGCGGATCGTCGTCCTCGATAAGGAGAGCGTTGCGGCTAGTGCGCTCAAAGGCTTTGCGCTTCCTTACAAATGCGGCGTCGGCGGCTCCGCCGCGGTGACGGGCGGCATGGTATAACGTTCCCCGGCGAAAAGGGCTACAGATCGTGACACCATACGCTGTGGGTTGGTCAGGAGGTAGGCCAGGGGCAGGAGAAGGTGGGTAGACGAGAATATCTGCGGGACGGGCAGCGGTTTTGGGAACCAGAAAGGGTATTTCGAGCGAATATGCAAGGCCACCGACGCAGAATAACTGCCGGGCAAGGACGTTCCTGACTGTGTTATGGCAGTGCACCGTACCAAACCCGTGACTGCCAATGGACGCGTGGTCGCCGCAGGCATCCATAGGCTTAAAGTAGTGAGAACATCGCATCAGCGATATAGAATTGTTGGTCACGGGGGCGTCGAGGTGCCAACCTAACATCGTGTACCAAGTTTTGTTGTGGACTCGAGAGGTGGCGGTGGGGTGTGCAGTGATAAAACGGGTGGCCCCAGAGACAAGTAGGGAGATATAGCGTACTATTTTGCGAAGCGGGGCTGCGCTGTGATCACCAGGGTTGGAGAAGGAGTCCCAGAGGGGTATTTGCCTGTACGAGCTTGCTGCTTCACTATATGCGCAATACATGCGCCTGAAGAAGAAATGTGTGTATGCGTTCAGGTCGCGCCAATAGCGCAGCTGGTTCAAGGCAGCCAAGGTCCGTTTCCGTCATCGAAGAGTGTGCGGGTTGCACGAATGAATGTAAATTTCGAAGAAC